TGAACACCTTGAAGGACCAGCCGAGCGTCACGAGCGAGCTGTACGCCGACGTCTGGTACCCTTCCAGGTTGAGGTAGATGTTGAAGATGGGGTAATTGAGCGACGGGATCATGCCCAAGATGACTCCGATGGCGGCGTAGTTGGAGAAAATGCCAAACGCTTGTCGGGAGAAGAGGTCCAAGGCCCCGCCCGCGACGAGGGCGCCGTCTTCGAGCTCGCCCGGCGTCTTGACCGCAGCAAAGTCGTCGTCTTTGTCGCCGGCGGGCTTGGTGAACGATTGGATGTACGACACGCGCTCTTGCAAGTCCATGTTGTCGCGAACCATGCTGCTGCTAGAGGTGTGGGTCTCACGGCAGAATCGACAATGGGTCGAACCACCTCGCTACAGCGGCGTGAACAACGCTTTGATGTCGGTGGCCGATCTTTTCTCGATAGTCGTCTGCTTTGCCATCTGGTCAAGAAAATCCACCAGTGTTCGGTGTCAGGGGCCGATTTTTCTCACACTGCTGCTAGAAATCCCACAGAGCGTCATTGTTGAAGCTGCAAGTTACAGCCGTGTCGCATGGGAAGGAGCACGACCTGGGTAGCCCCGTGCAATACGCGGTGCCATAGCTTCTGCACGCGAATGTCTGCTGTACTACATATTAGTGCTGTAGTTCTTCCGCACTGCAGCAAGATCGTGTGGGAGCATTCTGGACTAGGAAATGGTTGGTGTGTCTTACACTCCGGTTCGAAGGATGACGCCGGGGTACAGGCCTTGGGAGTACTACTGTAGTAGAAGGTAAATATATCATATGGTTTGCGAGTTCTCAGACAGTGTCGCGTGTTTGTCATAGACTGGAAATGAACTGGTGTATATGTACTGTACGATTGCCATTAGTGCAAATTAACCTTACTTGGGAATTTTTGCTTGCAAAGTCACAGAAAGGGGGATTTCAGGATGCCCCAACAATACAGTTGTTGCGGTTGTGAGCGATGACAGCGCAGGGCTTACATGTATTTATACCTGGTAACGTTATTAATACGCTGACAGGTAACGTTAGTTGACCACAGTCGAATCCCACAATTCACGCTCTTACTGTGAGTCGGCCCCCTGCAGCACAAATTTGTTGAAGAGCACAGCGGAAATACAACTTTTTCTTCAACACAAGTATTGGGAGTTTATACTTTACTGTACGCGTGTTCACTGTAACTAGTAGTAGAGGTTGTCCATCGCGCACGCAAATACACTATGAAACGCAAATAACGTTAACGTTAGCTACTACTACTACATGTAACAACCAGGCTGTTAGTGTTGATTCTCACAAGCGATCGTAATTGTGGGATTCGACTGTGGTCAACTAACGTTACCTGTCAGCGTATTAATAACGTTACCAGGTATAAATACATGTAAGCCCTGCGCTGTCATCGCTCACAACCGCAACAACTGTATTGTTGGGGCATCCTGAAATCCCCCTTTCTGTGACTTTGCAAGCAAAAATTCCCAAGTAAGGTTAATTTGCACTAATGGCAATCGTACAGTACATATACACCAGTTCATTTCCAGTCTATGACAAACACGCGACACTGTCTGAGAACTCGCAAACCATATGATATATTTACCTTCTACTACAGTAGTACTCCCAAGGCCTGTACCCCGGCGTCATCCTTCGAACCGGAGTGTAAGACACACCAACCATTTCCTAGTCCAGAATGCTCCCACACGATCTTGCTGCAGTGCGGAAGAACTACAGCACTAATATGTAGTACAGCAGACATTCGCGTGCAGAAGCTATGGCACCGCGTATTGCACGGGGCTACCCAGGTCGTGCTCCTTCCCATGCGACACGGCTGTAACTTGCAGCTTCAACAATGACGCTCTGTGGGATTTCTAGCAGCAGTGTGAGAAAAATCGGCCCCTGACACCGAACACTGGTGGATTTTCTTGACCAGATGGCAAAGCAGACGACTATCGAGAAAAGATCGGCCACCGACATCAAAGCGTTGTTCACGCCGCTGTAGCGAGGTGGTTCGACCCATTGTCGATTCTGCCGTGAGACCCACACCTCTAGCAGCAGCATGGTTCGCGACAACATGGACTTGCAAGAGCGCGTGTCGTACATCCAATCGTTCACCAAGCCCGCCGGCGACAAAGACGACGACTTTGCTGCGGTCAAGACGCCGGGCGAGCTCGAAGACGGCGCCCTCGTCGCGGGCGGGGCCTTGGACCTCTTCTCCCGACAAGCGTTTGGCATTTTCTCCAACTACGCCGCCATCGGAGTCATCTTGGGCATGATCCCGTCGCTCAATTACCCCATCTTCAACATCTACCTCAACCTGGAAGGGTACCAGACGTCGGCGTACAGCTCGCTCGTGACGCTCGGCTGGTCCTTCAAGGTGTTCATGGGGATGCTATCCGACTGCGTCCCCATCTTTGGCTTCCGCCGCAAGTCGTGGATGTTGATCGGTTGGGGGGCCACCATGGTGTGCTTGTCTATCATGACGTTTTCGTCGCTGGGCGACCCGTACTGCAGCCGCCTCAAGGCCAAGGCAATGAACAACTCGCTGGCTTGCACCCGCGTGTACTCGCGCGCGTCGCCCGCGGAAAAGGAGCTGTTCAACCTGGGTGCGCCGGATCAAGGCTCGCTGTTCATCATCCTGTCCATGTTTGTGTCGTTGGGTTACGTCACGGCTGCATGTGCGTCGGACGCGATGGTCACCGAGTACTCGCAGCGCGAGCCGGACGCAATTCGCGGTCGCGTCTTGACGGGGATCTACACCGTGCGCACGATTGCCAGCATCCTGTCGCAGGTGGTGATTGGGTTTGGCTTGAACGGCGCCGACTACGGTGGGTCGTTCTCGTTCTCGATGGCCCCGAACGTACCGTACGGCATCTGCTTGGCGCCGTGTGTGCTGGTGGTGCTGTCTGTGATTTTCATTCTGGAAGAGACCAAGGTCCCTGGTACGCCGTTCCGGGAGTGGGCTGCGGGTTTCTGGGGGTTGTTGCAGAAGCGCGTGATGTGGCAAATTTGCGCCTTCCGCTTCATCAGTCAGGTGCTGACCAATATCAGCTCGACGGCGGACTCGCCCATGTCGAGCACGTGGGCCAAAGTGGAGCCGATCAACAGCGCACTGGCTGGGATCGCGGGGAACGCCATCTTTGCTGGCATCATGGTGGTCGTGGGCAAGTGGGGGCTGCATTGGAACTGGCGCTGGGTCATTGCCACGTGCACCGTGTGTGTGTTGAGTCTCGACGGTATCACCACGTACTTGACCATCTGGAACGTTGTGCGCAACCAGTGGTTCTACACTGGGTTTGCCTTGACGGAGAACATTCCTGGTGGCATCCGTTTCGTCGTGTCCACGTACTGTGCCGTGGAAATCGCCGACGTCGGCAACGAAGGGGCCACCTTTGGCTTGGTCACGACCGTCAACAACTTGGCGTCTCCGTTCGGCTCCATGCTTACGCGCTACATCAACTCGTTCTTCAAGGTGCTCCAGAACGACATCCGCGAGGACTCGTCCCAAGTGCGGTGGGACGTCACGTACACGTTTCTCATTTCGTACGCGTGCCGCCTCTCTGCCTTGGCGTTCCTCTTCATGCTGCCTCCTCAACGTGGCCCCATGCAAGAGTTGAAGAAGAAGGGGGGCAAGAGCAAGCTGGCGGGTATCATTTTGATCCTCATCTTCGCCGGCACCCTCGCCGTCTCGGTCACGTCCAGCATCATGGCCATCTACCCCCAGACGCGATGCTTGCGCATTGCTGGGGGCAACGGTGTCACCGACGCCAAGACCGGCAAGTGTCCTGTCGTTGCTAGCCGAAAGGGATAGTTATGTCGTGTATATATTACTGTATATAGTGTGTGAATAAAAATGTCAGTTTTGTGCTTTGACCGTGGTCAACAAACGCCAATGTAAGCCCTAACGTAGTGTTCTTGTGATTTTTACGACATTGAATGGACATACCTCAGCACAAGCTCATCGCACCTGAATCTGAACTACTGAACCCCGTACGATTGAGCAACTTGGAGCCTCTCAATGTTGTTGATAATAAGAGTTTCGCCTAGAATTTCACTTCTACACCTACTGTAAATCGCTGTTGAACCGCCCTCCGTCAGGGAGTTGTATTCCCAGTGACATGAAAAGAAACCACAATTTACTTCTTGCGTGACAGGGGCTCCTCCCCATGCCAAAGAATGCTGCAGAAAACATTTAAACGTTCATGGCTCAATAAATGGAGCTATCCGCTTTAAAGAGGCGACTGGAAGTGGGGTGATTGTTGGGGGTAGTCTCGTCCTCCGAAGGTGGATGCCGTTGGGTGTCAAAAATCGCCAGGATATCCACCAGACTCACACACGTGCCTCGCGTGCGCACGTCCATGGCACGAATCAAAACGTTCATATCGTGGAGGGTTATGCGGTGTCCGAATTGCCTGAGCACACGTCGCAAAGCGTCCGCCTCGACAAAACACTCATGGTTGTCATGGTCGACGGAGTCAGGAACCAACGCCCTTCGCATGTCTTGGGGGGATTGGTGGCGGAGATGGCAGTGCGCAATCACGTCGGCCACCATGGCCACTTTGACATGTTCGACATGCACCGCTTGGGCGATGACAAGTGAAAAGCAGTATTTTTTGCGAATATTCTGTATTGACTCCCCTATTACAGTAATACTCGCGAGGTACTTTTCGGGGGGAAAAGCAAGAGCAACTTGAACCTGTGACATGCCAATGAAATTGTAGTGATTGACAGCCAATCACGTAGCAGAATTTTGCTGGTATTTGACGGCCTTGCCTTTCAGCGATGAGACCTGCAAGGCAAGACCGTCCAGTACTCACGTCGCGCTGGGAACCAGTTGAGGATAGAAGTAGTTGTAGCGAGGCGTCCATCACAGTTGGAAGGCCTAGAGCTGCTTATATGAGTCTCAGCGTATACCCGAGACCTTTGCTTCTCGATTGACCAAGCAACCATGACAGGATTGCACAACCTCACACGACCCCATGCAAGCAGCGTATGAATTGGTGCGCGAGAACACCTGTGTGGTGCACGAATAGATGCATCGAGTCTAAGAGGCACATCAATGTCCTAACGTTACTTGATGTCCTACTTGGAGCGATCACAGGTAGCACGCGCTCGTATCGTGTTGGCCACGTCGAGAAGGACGGCATGGACAGTCTTTTTCGATCACCTATGCGCATACTGTACGGATAACGATATAGTAAACTGCTTTTCCTTGTTTCTACGGCTTGTAAATCTGCCTTTATCCGAATCCGGATGGACGTCTCATGGTTAGGTAATATGGTTTTCCTTTGCGACATACAACAAGCAAGATAAATGGAGATAATTAACAAAGCAGAATTTTCATCAACGTCAAAGTGATTGCACGAGTGTAAGTTTACGGTACAATTTATTATATTATACAGTTTATTGCACCTACACTTTACCACAAATATACTCGATATCTGTATAAATAGTTTATTTACAAATATAAATTTACAAAACTTATACGTGAGCACAGTCAAAAATGATCATCATTCCCACTGTTTTACTGTTTTTCGTGGATAAATCAGCTGTCATTCCTATTTAGGACCTTTGGGGGCTCTAATTGGATTCCATTTGAATTTTTTTGTATTCAAACGTACTCCTACGATGTGTGGGAGGTTCACTGATTTGGAGGAGATACCTTAATTTCACACCTGAAATGTCCATTCGTGCAATCACTTTCGGACAGAGGTAGTATAAATTTTGAAAAGGTATTGACATGTGAAAGGGAGAGCTACCCATTTAAATAAAAATTGCACCAAAATAATACAAAACTCAGTGTATTATAATTGAGTAGAAAAATGCACTTATTGCACCTGAACAACGTTCTCGTCGTCAACTGCGGAGTTGCTGATGTCATGTTGAGGGACCAGAGTCTCCTCGATAGCACAAGTAGACATCAACTCACCCAACACAGCCTCGTCGACAACTCCACCAATCTCGTCGACATCATTGAGTACACCATCGACAAGGCGGCACTTCCTAAAACCATTCACGATTATAGAATTAGGAAAGTCAACCCAGGCGTCTGCAATCCATCCAACAATCGTCGCACGCGAAGGTGCTTGAAGCTTGAATGGTACGCATCGGTGCTTTGTATTCCGCAACTGACGGCGAATTAGGTCCAGGAACGTTTGACGAAGCTGCGTCATCAAGGGACGGTTACACGCGACGTCCACTGGCTATCACATCCAGGTGTATCTTGGTGGAATACGCTCAAGGATGACATGGATGGATTCTGCGTAGACCACAAAGCCGTCAGTAAAGTGCGCAGAAAAGTCGTCCCACAGCAGGAGCACTTTTTTCGTCGAGCGGTCTGGCCGCCAGGCAAAATGGTATTGTAGGAACTGCAGTGAGATGTCCTTGTTCCTTTTTCCACCAGGCCGTAGGATTACCAAAGATCTGGTAGCCGTGCTGTTCCTGCAGGGGCTCCACGGATTTCCACGAAGTCTTAATAAATCATTGGCGTTCAGTAAGGTTCTCTTGGAAACTGCTTTGACCTTTGACTTACTGGTCTTGATCACTATGAAGAAAGGGTATTTGGTGCCGCTGGAGTCCCCGAGCAGCATCGCCGTCGCACAGTCCTTCGTCTTGCCCCCACACTAGACCCACACCGTCTTCTCTCCGCTGGCGTTGATTGTCTTGGACGGTTGGTACTCATAGCTGACTCCCATCTGGTCAGTATTGTAGACACGGTCGATGCAGTGCTCTCGCATGAGAGCCTTGATGCGTTATGAGAAGGACTCCAGCGCTCCGAAACCATCGTGGGACGTGTCGTGTCCAACGCGGGTGCAACAGCGGAGCGTGACACCATGTCGGCGTTTGAACCCGTCGGCCCAGTGCCAGCCAGCAAGGAACTCATGATCGTCGAGTCCTAGGTCAATGGCTGCCTGCAAGGCCATGATGAGTAACACGGCGTGTGTCACGGGTACGCCATCCGTTCGCATGTCAAGGACCCAGTGCAGCAGTTGTTCCTCGGCCTCCAGCGTAAGTGCCATCGGGGATCGGGATATTTGTGTTCGGATGATAGTCCCGAATGAAATTGCAAATTGGCGATGAAATGCCCTGTGAAAGTTATAGACCTTGTTGATTCACACCATGAAAAGGTGTGACAAGAAATTCGGTTTTATTATACAGTCCCCGCCACATATTACATAAAACAATATCTTATTTGGGATAACGTTTCCGCATGTTATCCGTTTTTCCTCAAATTAGCACAAATCTGACCGTCTTGATTGGCCCGATCGATTGCCGCCTTAATTTGGGCAAAAAAGAAATACTGACTGACTTATCGCGGGAAAACCAGTTTCGGAGTGCGACATATTCAGCTTAACCTAAAAAAACAGTAAATTACCCGATGTCAGAGAATGGCCCGACACACTTATCATGACCAAATTTATTTATTTGCATATAATCTCTAGTGAATGACAATAGAATTACGTGTTCTACTAATTCGAAGTATAGTGTATTCAAAGCTAAAGTAGGGACATTAACTGATACTAGGTACAGTAGTCCCCCAGAATAAGGAACCTTTGATTCCGATACGTTTTACGAGGTATCACTAGTGCTCAGGTATAAAACTAAAAAGTTATTTTCGGTGGGTTCCTTGCTTCTGATTGGTCAATGTTCTTGGATTAAAAAATGGACATCATTTTCGAATTCAGGAGGGGTTTGATATCCTAGCTTACAGCTGCTAATTTCCACGATGACCATGACGATGTCCATCCGTCATATGATTAGTGCGCTGCGAGCATTGCATCTTGTTGAAAATTTTGACAAGCTGGTTGAAACGGCTGACGAAACTGAATAATAAAATTTCGGGTCACTCGTGACCACTGCTCGAAGTTAGTCTGTTGGAAGCGTTGGAGTGGGCCAAGGAGGCTTGGCAATCAGTGACGCAAGTCACTATTTTAAATTGTTGGCGCCATACTGGTATTATTGACAAGGAGGTGTATGAGTTGATTGATAGTATGCATAACCTTTAAAAAGAATTAAACGTGTTTGTTGGTGT